GGCAAAACTGTTTTCCTTGCGAGGTTACAGAACATGGCTTATTCTCGGCTCTTCCCTGTAGCGAGGGTTTTCTACCATTGTTCGTAACCTCTGCTTTGTTGCCACGTGTCCCAGGACAATTATCCCCAGGACAATTATCCCCAGGACAATTATCTCTGGGGCGAAGGACATCGCTGTTACCCGAATTCTTTCTAGAAGTTCCAATATTCTGCCCCACCGTTTCACCGGCCCACCGATTTTCCATGGAATGTTTACCATTTGTATCAGCATTAGTTCTACTTATATTCTCGTCATCCTGCGATTCAATTTTCAAATCAATGGCCTTCTCAGCAATCGTAAGGAGATCACCGTAAACCTCGAGTTGTCCAAAAAGCCGCGAAATATCACCATCGTTCTTGGCGGACTGATTCGAACAGCAAGGGCTGTCATTTTGCACCAGCCTTTGTTTTGAGGATTTATTCTCGTGTTTGGTCACAATCGCTCCAGCTTTCGTTTCCTTTTCATCGACTAAATCTTCATATTTCTGTAAAATCGTCTTAACGTTCGACAACAAGCCATTCTCTGAACCGCCATTCATTCCGACTGGTCGAGATTTCCTCTTCGGCTTTCGCTTGATCTTTGTGTACAACTGAAAGCATTTTTCTCTATTTTCTCTGTCGTTGCTACACAATGAGTACGTGAAGTCTACCGCATTCTCCCAGGTCGTGTCGTATTGCAGGTCGTTCCAAAGGGAATCGACATGTTCGGAGCCGGCCGAGTTCGTCTTGCTGTAAGATGAATCCTTGGGCTTTTTGTCGAAGAATGTCACTACCTGATCAACCGGGTTAGACGAAGGAACACCAAGTGTTGGTGATTCAGGCGTGCGTGACAGCTGGGAGATTTGAGTAAAGGATGGAACATACGAGAATGGCTTTGGAATCCGACCAGACTGTGTTAAGCTTTCTGTTTCAAAAAATATACATCACTTTAGATAAAAGAAAACAGTGTTCACAGAAGAGACACCGATATTGGAACCTGAAGTTTTCTTTGTTCAAACAAGGAGGGGTTTCGTTTTAAACAAATCAGAAAATTTGTTTACATTTTCAGTAACCATAATACTTATGTGGTTACCACATAATCAGAAACCATAAATTTTGCCTACTTCTGGTAAAAATGGTACACTATTTAATACCAGTTTACATGAAGTATTATACGTTTAGGCATTCTGATTGGCTTAGCTTGAAAATGTAAACAAATTTGCTGATAAAACCCCTCTTTGTTCTTCATTCATTCATTCAGCAAGCATACCAACAACATCCTGAAGCGCTCGTATTCTTGATAATGATTTTCTAGCCGAGGACTTTGGGACAAGGAGTCCGGGCGCTGGGTATATCTTTATCTAAACATTGAAAATCATTCTTAATCTTTGGCTTGAATGTTGAGAACTACAGTACCTGCCCCACAAAACATCACCAGAGACAAATGCACTGATATTTGTACGGGTTTTCACACAACTTAGGACTAAACCTTTAGATATCTTTGTTAAAACCTGGTTTCCATTTCGCTGTGAGTGTCGTGAATGGAAAGTCTTTCTAGAAATACTTTGGCAGTTGTTTCATGATCAGAAACCAAGCATATAATAATTCCTGATTTTTTTTCAAACCTGATCCATATCTTACTCAACTAATAACCCTAAAGGATTACATAGTTTATTAAGAATTATATTAGCAGATTTTTGACATGAAATTACTACCAATGTCTCTGCGTATATGGCAGTTCTCCTCGATTATTATACAGTGAACAGTGGTCTTACCTGTTTTGCTTTTTGTTTAAGCGAAGCAAATCTTAGTTTAGGGAAAAGCTCGTTATCCACAGGCAGCACAAGAGACTCAAAACACACATCGCTCAGGACATTTTCATTCACACCAGAAGGATCCAGTCGTTCCAATTTCAGGAGCTATGACAAAGAAAACAACAATATGAATGATGCGGATGAATTAATGTGTGTACACATATATATGCTAAAAGTATTTTTTTATCCTAAAGTGTTCAGAACATTCCTAGGTACACATTGTGATGGTTGATCGTGGTTCTACTATCTCAGTCTTGTGATGGTTCTACTATCAACCTTGCAAGCTGAAAAATTAGTTCGACCACAGTGGGAATCAAACATGCAACCTTCAGTTTTCCAGTCCAATGCTTTTCAAACTGAGCTACCAGTTAAGGCATTTTTAACAGGTGATTTTTCAGAAATCAATCTAACTCCTTCCATACATGTGTTTCTGGAATATATAAAACCAAGGTTGCTAGTTCAATTCACACTGGGGTCAAGCTAATTCTTCAGCTTGTCCAGTTGGCCACGCAAAGTAACACCATCACAATATTAATTTATACACCTAAGTCATATACTGTACACTATTCCTAGGTACTATTTCTTATTCTAAGAATGCAATTTCACGGTGTGATAGCTGAATATGCAGTACTAGTTGAAGTCAAAGACTTTGTATATAGATGGACAAGAATACCCAGCCAATTCCTTTCTAATAATTTTATTACCATCATACCTTATTACCACTTGGCACAACCACAAGACCTTTCGGTTTAACCAGATGAAGGAGAAAATCAAATCTTTCCCGTGGACAAGCAGCACCACAGTAGAGTCGATCATACTTTTGCACAGTTGTATCAATGTGAAAACAATTGCCGTGAATAAACTGAGGATAGCATATCTTTTTCTTCAACTTTGGGGAATACATAAAGAACTCCTCACAGCATTCATTCGCATGTTCGACAAGGTTCGCTCGCAACTCTACACCATGATTGACCCCTTGAGATCCTATTACGTACCCAGCTAACATTGAGAAATATCCTGTTCCACTACCTATGTTTAGAAATGACATCCCTAAATGAAAAAGAAACAGACATTAGTAATATGGACAACACATTGTTGGTATTGTTTCTAAACATCACTATGTCATATCATATCATTTACATAACTTAAAAAACTTAGTCCATGCATGTGACAAAATGAATTATGTGATGCTTGGAAACACATCAACTTTCTGAACAAGTCTTCATGCAAATCTCATGTTATTGGATTCAATTCAATTTTTGTAGAAAAACATTATCCTCACAACACTTGGTCAGACAGAATATTTTCACGATTTATGCATCAGAAAATGTCTGTCGAAACTTTATTATCCTTAAAGCTTGTTTTGAAACACTTCCATAGTTGTCCAAAAAAATGTATTCCAAAATAGCTCTGTCAGCATATTCGCTAATTTCCAGCAATTTATTTCATTAATATTGCTGGATGAAATGAACACTTCCTTTCAAAAGGACAAACTGCATTGTATAATTACTTGACCACATATTTTTTTACTGCAATGCTTTTAGGAATTAGGAAGTAAATTACACTAATAAAGGCCTTAGCTAGGTTAACAGGACTAAAATCTTTGCAGTGAAAATGAGTAGATAGTGAGTGGAACTATTGTTGTGAGTGTTTATGCAGTGATTTTAGTTAAAAATCATGTTCTGACTGACTAACCAAACAGAAAAGGGGAAACTGACATTTCATAGACTTGTTAGGGTACAAAGGTCTGTCATCAACCAGCGCTTACAAATGATACAGTAAATAAACATGAATTTTACATAATGAAGCAATTTTAACTGGTACAGTATTACACTCGTCTGAGTCTACCTGGGCAAGCAAGAGATATAAATTCGTTCGATAATGAATCAGAGTTTTGCAGATGAACCATCCTGATAAGCGATATGTCAATTATTACTCATGGATTATCGAACGAACTATTATTTTATTCACTTCCCTAAGTTCTGAGTTTCTAGTGCTGTAAATTAAAATATTAGCATGGATGAATACCGTTTTTGATTAAATTGTATTAAACTCAGGAATTAAAGAACAAACATCTCTTTGGTAAACTAAAACATGTTTGCTATCATGGAATTATTGGAATACGGTGCTTTTATTGTGAAGAACCAAAGCTAGAACAGTGATACAACTCGCCCTTTAAATTTCACGATGTAGCAAAATACTACCTCGAATCGAACGAAAAATAAACACAGTCATGTTTCAATATTAAAGGTTATCGGGCCGATAGCATACCTTCTTTTAGGTCTAATGCTTCTAAGACTGTAGCGTACATATGTGGGGCACTCATATGCAAGTGATCGTCGCCGCGGACAGGATAATCCCCATAGGCATCGTCGTGTAAATATTCGGGCAAGAACGCCGCTCTGGGTACGTTTAGGAAGGCACTTTCAACTACGGCGCTGGATATGATCGACAATTGCTTGAAATTCTTTACCATTTCCTCGTTCAACTCTCCCAGACTTCGCCAGGCCATGACCTTCGCGATGTATCGAAGCACCGGAATAGAGCACGATGTTGTTTTTTTTGCTATTTCAAGCAAATCAAACCGAACAGATTTTGGTTTATTTTGAGTTTCTTTTTCGCCATGTCACTGAAGTCGACATGCGTTCCACAACAAGGACCATGATGCAATCCGAGAACAATGACCTCAATATTACCTGGAGTCTGCGGCCTTCGTTGAAAAACACCATCTTAATAAAAATATACTCGTAATTTTATTTATCTATTTCGCTTTGCCAGTCGAACACACAGAGATACAGTAATACAAACACGAACTGCACTAATAAAACTACAAAATGTTATTTGGAGCTACTGTTCTATTGTATTTTAATATTCTATTATTTAATTCACAGAAAAAAGGGGGGAAAATTAAACATAGATAAATCTGTAAACAGTGCTAACACCGACTTGAATACAGATCAAACTTTTCCATACCAAACACGGATTTATTTGCAAAAGCATGTAAATTATCTATGGCTTTGAAGCAATTTTAGAGGACCACAAGTTTATCAGTTTACTGTCATTTTCATAGTCCCTGAACAGTACAGATCTATGTGCTTGGTGTATTATGGAAAACTTAAACACTATTGAATTGCGACAGAACCTTCTGAAGAATGCACAGAGTAAACTATGACGAATAATAAAAGCTTTATTTTTGCATTCAAGCGTTTAACTACACTACAGATTACAATTACAAGCATTAAAGTGAGTATAAATACTGTACAAGACAACCTATCAGATTTATGATGAAAGCAATATAAATTTGCATAGTAACATTACTTTACCAAAAATCTTGATATTTTTAATATCCTGATATTCTTAATCGCGCATACTTAATTTTAAAATACGTTGGTGCTGTTGGAAACGTTCTAGAAGCCGCAGTTGATGTAGAGTTCTGTAATATTGAAGTAAAATGAAGGGTCTGCAATATTGTACATAATTCTACCTGCAAGGTTATTTTGAGTTTTTTTAATACGAGCAAATAAAGTCGAAAGAACACGACAGGCCACACTGGAACTGGTCATGTTTTTTGTATGCATATTTAGAATGGTTTCTGCAACCACTAACTTTTGAAAAAGATTCTTTCTCTAAACTTGGAATATTTCCTAAACTTGGTGCTAATGGACCGAATCGATACTGCAAAATTATTTTATCTACATTCAAGGTTTCAGGGCGGAGGATATTGAAGTTACCGCTTGCAGTTGTTGCAAGAAAATATGGTTTGCATAAAAAATATGTTTTTAACAAGATAAACAATCATGATCTCAACTTGTAGTCAAACCGACAATAGCAGAAACAACTACCGTTATCATTTTTAACTATGATGAGAAAATTTGCAGATTTTTATCTACCTGAGTGAATCATTGCATATTCGCATAAAACTTAAGTTATCATATACTATACTACACGCGTTCCCGCTTATAATGTTACCATTTCCCAATGGCGACGACTCCAGGTTAATACGTGATCTCGATGTGTAACCATGGAGACTAAAATTCCATTGGCTGTTCGGCGGGGGGAGCGGCGTCCGACGTAGGAGGCTGGGCACTAGCAGGTTCGGCAGGCGGATTTTCGGGAGGGGCCTCGGGCGGTGCGACTGAAATGGATTGATAATAGATTGTCGTTACCACATGCATTTTACACGGAAGGAAATATAACTTTTGCTTTAGGGTTTAACCCGCCACCTCTATGCGTAAAAACTGTGCCATTTTGGTGCATACTGAAGTTGCCAGCTGTGTCCTACTGGGGTCAGAGATAAAAAGATAGCTACTAACCTGGTGGTTCGGCAGACTTTTCAACTTCTGTGTTGTTCGTGGTTACCGCGGCTTCGTCTGTGGATCTAAATAGTTTAAAAACGTCAGAAACGTGGAAAAATTACACGAACTTGCCTAGAATAGACCTTTCTCGTGATGACGTCAAACGCGGAACGTCTGATGTTACGCAAAGTTTGATTGGCTCCTCAAAACTAACGAGCCAATCAAACTTCGTGTAACATCAGACTTTTCCCGCGCTTGATGTCATTACGAGAAAGGTATTTTGAATTACAAAACGGTCCACACAGTAATAAAAAGATCTTTTAAAAACAGTTTCAATACCCGGGTTGTTTTTTCGCGTCTTGGGCGTTTGGTTGAATCTCGTCGGTGCTCGTTTCCTCGGGTTTATTTTGATTTTCGGTCACAGGTGCAGAGCTCGAGTCCACTCTAAAAAAACAATGAAAAAACGCCATTAAAGAAAACATAAGTTTTGTATTCAGGCAGAGTTAAAAAAAGTCAGACACACACAGCCCCTAAACATCATCTCATGGGTAAGACGATAACCGAGTCGAGAAATATGCAAGAACTTACTTCTCATAATATTCTTGTACGTTTGCATAGGACATCATATAAGTAGTTGCACTGATGAAGGCCCGGGTTAACGGATCGAAAGCTTTGCGGTATTAAATACTTAGTACGTGGTGTACCTACAAGCTTACTAACACTCCTGACGAAGGCCCTGAGGTCGAAACGTCGAGAAGTGTTTTGTCTATTTTAGCCAGTTGTTATACAACATTTTGTTAAGTTTGCTAAGTTGTACCTACAAGCTAATTTACACTTAACTTACTTTTCGCCATTAGTCTCGTTATTTTGTTCCGGATTTGAGGGTTTTTCTGGCGACTTCGGGTCGGTAGCCTTCGGTGAGGCGGCTGGTTTTGGCGAGCTGGTCTTTGATGTTGGTGCACTTGATGATTTCGGCTCCGTCTTCAATTTAACGTCTTCTGCTTCGCCGGTTTTTTCGGCGACTTTTGGTCGCTTGGCTGTCGGCTCGTCTTCTTTATGCGAGTTGGCATGTCGTCGTTCTCCGCCTTCCTCCGCCTCATCTTCGGAGTCCGAGTATTCCTCGGGTCTAGCGATCTCTTTGTCCGATGCCATAACTAGAAAACAATGTTTCAATGGTCATAACTCTAAAATTCTCAAGTCCTGAGCAAAATAATTCAGATCGGACTAAATTCAAAACAAACGCAACAGGATATTATAAGACACTTTGCACCAGAGACTATCAGATTAGAGTAGATCGGATTAAAACAGATCAAACGGGATCACACCGTATGATAGACCCGATTATACTATAACCTACAGATTGGATCAGTGCAGATCGGAACCGATCAACAGGGATCAGACCTGGATAAACAGGGATCAGACCTGGATAAACAGGGATCAGACTTGGATCGACAGGGGTCAGACTTGGATAAACGGGGATCAGACTCGGATAAACAGGGATCAGACTTGGATAAACAGGGATCAGACTTGGATAAAGAGGGAGCAGTAAGGGTTATATCATATGTATCCATCTGAATCACTTACTGCTGATTCTCTTATCAGGTTTGCGATCTTCCTCTTCATCCTCAGCCTCGCTATCATTTCCTATAGCGTGATCATCAGGTATACCTAAATCACAACATATACCCCTTTGAGTTCACTCATGATCATATCGCGATATAAAGTCACAGTTTAGAGATACTGTTGTTTCCTGGTTGTTACCGCATTTTATGCAAATACATATATATTTATTAAACTTGAGATTAGGCTACAGTATACTTTCCTTATTCTGACAGCATTTTGCGACGAAACTTTGTAGTTTTACTAATTTTACAAACATGCACTTACTACCTGTGGTTTTAGGGATGTCGTTCTACTAGTTCAGATGAGAATTCCCATCTATTTTGCTATTGCTGGAAACAGCCTTTTCTAGTGACATAAAGAGTGATATTTTCTATCATTCGCTACATCAACAACCTCTTGCAATTACTCACGTTGCATCTGGACTCCTGGAGCGTGTGGAATCATACGCAAGTTCTCAAAAAGCCTTTCCCTGAGAAGAAAAAGAAACGAATTTCGGTAAGTTGATGGACCGGTTGATAAAGCCTGGTTTCCATGACTCACTGACATTCAGCAAAGCCATTTCCTGTGGCCTTTGACAGAGGAAGTATCATTAAATGCACAAAGATTCTCCCATCTGTGAACACAACCTTGGACAGGCAGACAAACATTGAAACTTACTTGGTTCTGTCTAAATATTCCTGTTGGTTTGAATTTGGCATGTTTGATGGGCTGATGTGAAGTTTGAAGTCTGGACCAAAGTACTCAAAGTAATCATTATATGGTAGCTCTAGAGAAAAATATGGATATTAAGAAGCCCCACACATCCTCCATCATCATCCCACATATCCCTATCATCACCCCACACATCCTCCATGATCACCCCACATCCTCCATGATCACCCCACACGTCCTCCATCATCACCCCACACATACTCCACCAGCATCCCAGATATCCCCATCATCACCCCACAGAACCATCACCTCCCCCCCCATCACTATCATCACCAAAACACTCACCATTAGCAATATCAAGATCCAGTGCAACCGAAGTCTCGTATGTCCAACATCTGGCAACATTGCGAATGGTATAACCACCTCCTCCCAGCATTAGCAGTGGGATATTAAACTTCTTCACAAATGAAACACATTGTGCATGACCTAAGATAAAAAGGAGTTGATCCTTACCAGATCTCTTGGAAGAACAGCTTAGAACTGATAGAGCTATCCAGTATAAATAAAGTTAGTTTAGTTTAGGTTTCTTTCTGTAGTAACACTGAATCAATAAGAGTAGTTTAGCATTTATTGAGGTATCCAATTTAAACAGATAAACTTAATTTAGATCAAAGGTGATGACTGAAAAAGCAACCTTTTAATGAGAGGTTAAAACATCCTAATCTGTCACCAGCCAAGGAATCCGCCCCACATTGAAGAACAACAGCATTTGGTTGATAAATCTCCATGACTTTTGTAATAATCTGAAAAACACAAGAAATGTTTGCTTTATCATCTGGAGTTTGACGGCTAATTATATATTTGAATTTAGTCTAGCTGACTCAAGCTTGAATGAATACAAAATGCCTTTATCATTGGAGGTTTCATGATGTATGAGCATTGTTTAATAGATGGATGCAAAATATGGATAAACTATATGCATAGCATATCCACTCATCCACATATATTAAAAGAAGATAATATAGCAGTAAAAATTGTAAGTTTAAAGGATCTTCTGTCAAGAAATATTTGTTTCATACTAAGACTAAGAGTATGGTTTTGAACTCGAAGTCCACTCTAAGAAACAAATTTTGCTCTACCACTATATTGGACATAACTCGTCATTGAATTTCGACCAGTATGCATTGATAACCAAATGAATGGTCTCAATATAGTGAAAGATTGCATGTTTGAAGTAAATTACATTTTGTGAAATCTGACCAAAAATCTGACCAACACAGTATACAACAATGTAACTAAGAAATGCAATTTTTGATTGTTAATTTGTTTCCACCAAAATGTGTTGTCATTTTAGAACATATTACAAAGACCTGATGTTAAAATAAATGCTCCTATTTATGTCTTTAATGTTTGAATTAGAAGCAATGCCTTTGGAAAATGGAAAACAGTGTTTTGAATTGAGTCTTGGTTTGGTTTATAAGACCAAGGTTAAAATAATGTGGCCAAAAATTTTAAAAACACTAGTTAGCAAGCACTCACTGGCTTGAATATTTCTTCATAAGATTCATCATCAATGCCATCACGTAGTGGAAAGTTGACAGCATAATATTTGCCTTTGCCTGCACCAATATCCTAAATGAAGGGACAGGTTTTTACAAGGTTGAATTGGAATGCAGTGAATGTATTCAACTCTTGAAAACCATAGCAGTTGAACTAGTTAGTTCCCACCTACTATGTAGAGGAAAAATTAAAAAGTTCAACCCAACATTCTACACCAAATCAATATGAAAACCACCTGAATGTAGACATTATTTGTGCTACGCACTGCCCTGGAATTAGCAGAAACTCTCAAGAGAGAAGAGCCTAGATCTAACCCCTTAATGCTCGCTCATATACGTACACGTATGTCTCCTGTTCCAGGAAAATATTCTCCGTATTTATGAAATGAAACAGTCATCACTCTATCAGTTGTGTAGAACGCCTCTTCCACCCCATCACCGTGGTGAATATCAATGTCCACATACAAGACTCGCTGATGGTACCTTTTGGAAAAGAAAACAACCATTTTGTACAAACAAGCTTTTTCATTCCCCATTGAGCGTCTCGAGAAAACACTGCTAAATGTGTGCACAATTGACTATTGTATTAAAACGTGATAGTTATTTGGTTACTAGTTCAATGGTAAAAAATCACTAGCACTTTATTTAACGCTGCATGACTCCTACCTCAGCAGTTCAAGGATTGCTAGAACAATGTCATTTACGTAACAAAAGCCGGATGCCTCAGATTTCTTCGCATGATGCAGGCCACCAGCCCAGTTGATGGCGATGTCCGTTTGCTGTTTATTCAGTTTCACAGCCCCAGCTAAAAAAATTGGGTGAAATTAGCGATAAGCAACCATGACGTAAGATTCATTTAAAATATACCAAACCAAAACTCATTAGAATCTTACCAATTGATCCACCAGTTGAGAGTTGGCAAAATTCAAATAACCCATCAAACACAGGGCAATCTTCACCCACATTGACTATAGGAATGATATGGAAGGAAATTTCAGAAAAACTGAAACTCTAGACATAGATTGTCTATATCACTGCCTTAACTGTCAACTCACATCTTTGCATCTGTTTTGTATACTCCGACATGTTGTCCGGACGAATTGTTTTCAAAAATTTCACATAGTCATCGGAATGATATTTTGTCATTTCATCTAGGTTCGCTTTGTGAGGTCTCTGCAATGTGTAAGATTTTAAAAAGGATATTAAAAAGCTTTTCTTTTGCAAAAAAGGGAAATGGGAGCAATTTTGCCCTAGTTTGGTGAGAAAACTTTAACAATATGCTAAATCATAATAGAATAGATATGGTGCAATTGATAAAAAGGAATGCAAACTACACCCATGGGGAAATGGGGGCCAAAAGTCAATTTTTATTCCAGTTTGCCAAGAATTTACCTGAAAAATCATATATGTAGTTGAACTTTGAAGATAGAAAGGTTTTTGGGTAAGGAGATCTATATAGATCCTCTTTCGAAAAAAAAACATGAAAGTGCAAAATAAACTGGAATTGCTTACTCATCATTTTGTTAATAGGTCATTTCTCCTCCTAATCCTTTGGCATATGGTAAAGTTATGACAAGTGAGAAAATTGTTCTGATCTAACCAGAATAATTTTCTAACATTGACCGCAAAGGCGTAAATCCTCTTGATGAAGGTGGGTAACAACTATTGAATCAACAAATCTTGTCGAATCTTCCACATTGAAAGTATGGGCACTTTTTGAAAGAGTACACATTGTTCTGACCATTGAATGTACATGTAATAGTAATATAGACATCCAATGTTAAACTTACATAAATTTCCATTTTTCTGTACAATCCATAGTTGAGGAGTAGATTATGGGTCATTCGAATGCGATGAGGTTTCATAGGATGACCCTGGCCATAATAATAGTTACCAACATCGCCTATATATGGACGAAAAATACATGACAATACCATTCACAAATGTCAAGAAATAAAGTTGAAATGTAACCCCACTATCACCCAACGGAACTGCGTGAAAATCTCAGAGAGTGAAGTTTGATGTATAAGTTTGTTGCACACGAAAAGTTTAGTGGAGATTAGCACGTACCATCGTAATAATAACAAACTCTTTTTTTACCGGCCGGATACACGTTCGCCATGCTGTTGCCTTGTTCTTTCTGTTCAAAGCTGGTAACTTCCAATAAAATGGTCATGTGATCAAAATCTACCTTCTCCTCCAATCAGCGAGCCGTATCTTGAAATAATTATTCCACTAGCATATACAGGTCAGTGGCGTTAGCACAGCGAGCCCGAGAATTCAAATTTACATATAAACACAGAGCACCCAGGCAACATATTTTTTGGTGGTGATAAGTTCATGTTACGAGTCACGAAATATAGTGTAATAATTACTTAAATCTGAACTGCATGATTACATGGGCAGTAAAATATAATGCTACGCAAACTCGGTAGTTTAGGTTCTATGGTTCTACAGTTCTATGGTTCTTGGGTATATGGTTCTACTGATTTTTCTAGGTTCTATATAGTTCTAGGTATGGTTCCATGGTTCTATGGCTCTATGGTTCTACGGTTTTACGGCTCTATTGTTCTAGGTTCTGCATACAAAGTCGCGAAAAAAGTCGCGAAAATGCCGGTGAGCTATACGAGTAAACTGGATTGGTGGGGTTGAGACAAACCACTGAACTGTAAATATTTTACTTGACTGGAACGACATCACTGAACTATATAAATACGGTAACACTGAAGTGAGAGATCATCTGCTTAAAATGTTAGATTACGTCAACATCTGATAAGATAGAGACGTCCCTGTTGTAGACTGCAGTTGTCATCACTATATATAGCATGATGACTCATACCTACCTCTCCATGGACCCGGGATCTTAGACAATCACAAGTCATTACGCGATTGGAATAATCACTGTTTAATCATAAGTTTTGTCACCCACGAGCTTTTTTTCGCTTTCCATAGATTTTGCGATAGATGTTGAACTAAAGTTTGACTAAAAGCATGGTTCTACAGTTCTAGGGAGGAGGGGGTGGGGTTATGTCATAGGCACAGACTCACAAATGGGGAGATGGGTGATCCATGATTCCACGTATTCCAAATTCCATAATTTAGGACTCACAGGTATTGACTGGAAGGAGTTTCTTTTTCCCCAAGGACAAATTTCTTTTTACCTAGGACAAAGCTTGTGTAAATATTTTTCTTCGTTTGATCTTCTATGATTGTAGAATAATCTGAATATAAATCGGATTGCGCATGTCCTTCAAACAGACTGAAACAGTTCGCGACTTGTGTATTTGGCAGCTTTGATCTTGACCAGTAAATTCAGCTGAATTCTAATAAATAACTTTGATTTTCACTTCAATGATCTCGACTTATACTTTTAAACGATCTCAACTTTCGACACATTAACTTTCGTTAAACTTTCGCTATGATAAATTCGTGAGATCAATGTCCTCAAAACTTGTTAGCTAACATCTATTTCATCTTCTTTCCTTTCGTTCATTACTATTATCATTACATACTTTTAAATTAAATTTATCGAAATTGAATTTCCCGGCATTGATCTAGTGACACTCAGCCTTCAGTCAGACTAGCAGTACTGCAATGATCAACTGACATTGAGGAAGGTTGAAAGTGAAACACTGAATAAAACATTGCAAAGCAGTAAGTACTAGACTAGTCAGGCTAGTATTAGTAGCAACAGTCAACACTCAGTCAGACTAGCAGTACGGCAATGATCAACTGACATTGGGGAAGGTTGAGAGTGAAACACTGAATAAAACATTGCAAAGCAGTAAGTACTAGACTAGTCAGGCTAGTATTACAGTATTACCGTATTTCTGTATTGGTTTAAACGCTAAGAAATGTTTTTTTTCCCTCGGAATAGTATATTCACGTTACGCAATATTTAGCATCGAAAGAAGTTTATCTGAAGTGATGTTTTTCATTTACGAATGGCTATAAAACCGTAATCTAGTCAGAGAGCAAAAGGAAACAGACAAACCTAGTCCAGTTTATTGTGTCATGAATATTTTTAAACATTTTAAAATCCAAATAACGGTATAGGCTTAGCGGTAATTTGCAAGCCAGGTGAAGATAATATTTGTTAAGCCACCTTCCGGGTACTTGAATATTTGAAGTGTTTATTCTTTATAGTACAATAAGTCACTGACCACAAATGACTTTAAATGACCTGTTTTCATAAGACCGCCTTTGAACAGATAACGTCATCATTAAATATACACAACATTCGCAGAGTCAGCTCCAAACTTATAGCTGACCTTGCCGGCAAACTCGATAAAGACGATATAATATTTTGTCGTCTGCAATTGCAAAGCATACACTCCATTGTTTTAAGCCAATATAAGCTTGTTATAACAGTCACTCGTGATTTTTCGAGTCTTAGATATTGTTGCTCTGACCTATTTCTTCACGGCAATATGCTTTTTTATATGCAAAATTGTTCGCTAAAGACAACTACTGATGATTGAACTGATCAGTGTATTAAATTTGTACGACTTTGAAACAAGATGGCTATACTTAAAACTCAATATATACCGCCCCTACGAAAGATAATGATCAATAGTTATAGATTATAGTGTAATGTATAACATTCACATAGTAAAGCAATCCTTTTTAGGTTCTTTACTATATCTGGAGTAAAAAGTCTGATGTTTGGAAAGTTTGGCATATGATATTTGCTAACGTCTGCTTATACTTGAAATACTGATACTTGATATTTGCTGTATACTTAAAAAGAATTGCTGAGTTGTACGTTTCTCTTCAGTTTTTCAATATAACGAAAAGGCAAAAGATGAAACGGTGGCGAAAATAAATTTCGTTCAGCACAAATATTAGTATAGTGGTCCTCAAAAATGTTATCATATACATAGGATTTTCCAGCGCTGCGCGCGCTTCGATTCGTCTGGTTGCATGTTGCCTTCTGGGCATATGCAGAGGGAGAAATATCGATGGCATAAGTGAATCTGGTTTCTGCTCTCCTCAAAATGCATTTAATCAATGGTCGATTCTGTTTGACATAACTGCCTTGTGTGAGCATGAATCATTTGTCATCTTAATTTACCATCTCGCTGAAAATGACAAATCTTTTCAAAGTTAATCTTTTCAGTTAATCATGAAGTTAAAACGAAACCATTGGCATTGAATGTTTGTTTTCATGCTTGATCTATACCTACAAGCTAAGAGACCTGACCTTTCCAACCTGCTGCTATTATCAACAAAATTCCTGCCATGCACTTCATCCTTATTTTTAAGTTTAGTCTGTGAAGAAACAATTTAAATACTCCGTGAGTCATTGTCATTTTAATGAACTAGAAAGAATAGGAAACATTTATTTATTTTTATTACTTGTTTTAATGGATGTATGTTCGTATGCGTCAGTTCTATAAACAGGCAATTGTCGAAACTTAGTAAATATCATCTCTAAAGCAGTGTTGTTTCTATGCGCAGGAGAAAACCTAAACTAAACTAACTTTATTTATACTTGATAGCTCTATCAGTTCTAAACCGTTCTTCCTAGAGGTCCAGTAAGGATCATCTCTTATTGATCCAGTGTTACTACAGGAGGAAACCTAAACTAAACTAACTTTATTTATACTGGATAGCTCTATCAGTTCTAAACTGTTCTTCCTAGAGGTCCAGTAAGGATCATCTCTTATTGATCAAATGTTACTACAGGAGGAAACCAAAACTAAACTAACTTTACTTATACTGGATAACTCTATCAGTTCGTTCTTCCTGGAGGTCTAGTAAGGATCACGCATCTCTGATCGATGCCTATCTTACTCAGGAAACCTTTCATCCGAGTGTATGTTTTTGTTACGTCTCTGTGGACAAAACCCTAATTTCACCAGGAAACTGACCACTCGCCATTTCCTGACGTTTCCCAAATGCTTGATTTCGTACACTCCCAGTTTCGAAACAGGTCGAGGGCATTAGGCGTGCATGCATTTGAGCATATCAACGTTGGTAATCGGCCAACCCTGTTCCGAAACTAATTAAGTGAATTACATGCATCCTGAACAACTTGGCAGTGGTATTGACAGCTTAATCAGATAAGATAAGATTAAGATATCTGATAGGATTGTGTCGTCCAATGGTTGTGACATGCATGTGTAACATACAAATGATTTCATTTCAGCAATTGAAACCATTGACGTTTTATTAAAGATTTGGGTAGAATCGGCTGAGTCGCATGTTATTTCTACCAACTCGTGTTCAATGGTTTGTTTTTAAATCTTGCACTGAGCACAGTAGACCATTTGGTTTGATCTCTAATGGGTTTGAATTTATATATAATTATTAAGCTATATATCTAGTATAAATATTATTTATGGATAATAGGATCAAAGCTCATTTTTAATACGTGCATATAGTGAGATAATGAATCTGAAAAGTGTTATTTTATCGAGTTTTAGGTTAAAGAGTCTCAAAATTACAGAATTAACCTTACAGCATGTTTGCCAATACAAAAGAACTAACTATACATGAATAAAGTTCACTATTCAATTTTGTCAGGGACGTTGTAAAAGGAGTTCTTGTGACAAACTAATTTGATCCCAAATTATTTGGAGAAACAGTGCCTCGCTGAGCACACATGCAAACCTTGTCATTTTGGATATTATAAATACACTTTATTTGCATTGAAAATATGGCGGGCAATACATCTTCCATAAGCGGCATAGCTATAAAGAAAGAGCCTGCTATATAATATCAGCTATAAATTCGTTTCGTTTTTTCAAAGATGTTTAGCAATTGGATTCTTTCTAGGTGGGGGTATTATAGCAATTGAATTGAGGATGGCTGAAATCTACAATTACAACAATCGAAAAGATAAATTTTTAATTTCAGCTTTGCGTCATCTTGTGATACAACGAATAATGATACAATTATTAGGATAATTCATCTCGGATTAAACCAAAGCCTCATATTCAAATCGTACTGCAGGAGGCGATAAAACTTGGCAATTGGCCGAAGAGCGAATCCCTAATTCGTATTAGGAATTGCCTATAGGCTATGTAACTTGCAAAACCATTGTCGTTATTTCAATTATTTGTCGGCAAAACGCACTTGAATATATGTCGGAGCCTGAGCACGGAGCGTTCGTGAGGTGACAAAATAAACCATTTTATTCATATAGCAAATAGCAATATACACCTTATTAGCTTATGATAACATTTT